GTGTACCGGCCGAAATTTTGTGTACCGGTCGGTACATAAAATTCTGGCTGGTACACTGAATTTTGACCAAAACGATTGAATTTTGATCGAAACGAAATTTAATTTTGTATCATTTCGATCAAATATCAAAATCGATACGTACAGTATTGTCGGTACGGTACGGGATTGATTTCTTTGGTAACTATGCCACCAACATCTTTACAGCTATTCCTCTGATACCTATCCTGGCCAATGTGATTCCTGCGACTTGACTTCTGTGACTATAGGTACACGTAAGGTTTCGTGTAATTCACGTCTGAGTAATAATTATTTTGTCTAATAAGTTTCCCTTTTTGTATTATTTTTTTTACAGAGATTGTTACCTTGGTGGCTCCTGAGTTTCGTGATCTAGAAATTCTCCTCTTTGTAAAAAGGCATATGGGCTTGAATTCTTTCCTCTCAGAGTGAAAAACCGATTGACCTGTTAAGACAAGAGAAAGCTCCACCTCTTGCATTGCTTTCACTGTATCTTTCTTTAATAACTGCAACAAATTTGGAATACTTTAAAGTATGAGATTCACATGGCCTCTCTGCCTCTCTAATGGAGAAAGAAGAATCAAAAAGTGAAATTTTCATTAACAGTCTATAGATAGTGAAAAATATGGTTTTTAAATTAACACTGATTATTGTAATATACAATAACAATAATACAATATGTTCACCTAAAGCTTTGTAGGCTAAAAGCAGCAAAAAAAACTTAATTTATTGACTAAAAACCGATTTTCGTTTTTCTTTTTCTTTTTCTTTTCTATTTTTTTTTTCTGAATATCTGATTTAGTATTATTAGTAATTTCTAGTGTACCCACGTGCCCAATCGAATCAAAAGCTTTATTGAAGCGAAAATCAATTTGCCAATCTACGTTTGTTGTTCTGTAAGAGTTTTAAATTCCAACCGACAATTGTAGTTCCATTGCTGAGGAATTATAGAAAAACACAAATAGATTGAAGTAAGAATAACACTCACCGTGTTTCACTTGTTTCTGTGTGGACAATTTGATAGAAGAAATCAGAAAAGAAATCTTAGAAAATAATTGATTAAAACAATCAAATAACCAAAATCAATGCTCATAAATACAGAAAGGAGCCAACATGAATATATAAGATGAGTTGAATTGTTCAAATAAATTCCAATTACTGGAATTAAATTTTAAAGTAAAAAAATTAGAGACTTACCTTTGTGTTTTGACCATATAACAGAGAGGAGTAACCTCCTAGCTGAATAATTTTTAGATAGAAACAAAATAAAATTAGAAACCTGCTTTATGGTTTTACAGTTTGTTAATTATTTAAGTGTCCAATTTTATTTTACAGTTTCTCCATACAGGAGGAGCAACAGTTAATTATCTCTTTTTTTTTTTCAAATTCCTCCGTATTCAAAAAAAAAAAAAACTTAAATAATTTAATGATAATTTTTTTTATTGAAAATAAAAAATTTTACATTCAAATTACATGACATGCATGTGAGATGAAATAAGAAATGAAAAATGAGAGATAATTCCTTTCATTATACAATCAAAATAAAAATAAATGATACTGTAATTATATTATCCTCTTGTAATTTTTCATATTTTCAATTAGGCTAACCGGGTGGGTCATAATCGATCCGGAATTCCTTGAGTAGCAGATAAATAATCAATTAGCTCGGGTTGAAATATTAGAAGGTGATATACAGAGTTGGCATAGGAAAAAGAATCCCATGGCAATGGGTCCTCCATTTTAAGCAGCTTTTTGAGAGCTTTCAACAAAATTATCTGTCATTCCTTATAAGATATTGCTTGGTCTTGACTTTCCCAAAAGAATGTTTTTCCCCTCTTTTCTTTCCCCTCCTTCCTTATCTGTAATCCAGAGTGGAATCAGTCATCCCCATGCTATTCTAAGACTTTGTTTATTGTAAAGTCTAGCACTTTTTTTTGGTAAGAATGGCAAACCAGAATGGCAGAATTGCACATGCAGCCATATATACTCATAAATTTAACATTAATATTCAGTGGAACATACAGATTACAGTCACACACCCATACTTATCATTTTATTGCATCTACAGCCAATTCACAAAGGTAGCATAACACAACACAATCCACACCAACTCTGCACGTCCAGCATAACACATCATTTCTACCTTAGTCAGCATCTGCAAATCTGCATTCCAATTTACATAGAGAATTAGAGGTACGAACATTTATGCACACGTGCAAGAGAAGTTGGAAAGGCAGGAAATGATGGAGAGAAATGAAAAGTAGGTTGTCTTACTTACCCTAGCTCTGAGAGCTTCAAATGAGACTCAGCATAGTCGGTAAAAAAGGCATCCTCATCCTAAATCAAATTACCATAGCCATAAGTTTAATAAATCCTTTGTGTGACACCTAGATTTATAATAAATCCATTGTTTCTTATAAAAAACAAAGTGATAGATATGATATGGTACTCACTGCAGCATATTTCTCAACAAGAGGGCGGAAGACAGAATTCTCAAGAAGAGCTTTGTCTGTTGGTAGCTGGATAAGGCCTTCTTTCTCTCCACTGAGAAGTTCCCTATTTCGAAGATGAAGTGACTAAAATTAACAAGTTGGTTCTTAGCATTTAAGGACATTTCGTGAGGCAGTCTTGTTGAAACAAGAGTTAAACAGAACATTATCATCTAAGCAGTGAACTGATCTTACTTGAAATAGGTGTTATCAAAAATGAGAGGGTTGGTAGTCCATGGACCTTCAAATCCAGAACGCTCTTTGTGGCACCTACCCTGAAAATATAGTTTTTGAGCTCGAGTTTAATCACTATGGAAAGGAAATGTAAATTGAACAGCTGAAACAGTTCACCCTAGCATGCTGCAATCTGCAAAGAAGGCAGCTGAAGAATTTCATGTTTACTAACTGACCAGGGTGTGACCACCAGACAAGGCAACAATGTCTTTATCACTAAGACCCATGTGGCCGAAGACATCTCTCAGATGGTCCGAACCTATATTGGAAAATGAATCAAACATATGCTTCAGAAAGTAATTGAGTGCACAAACATATGCTTCTGAGACTGTTTATGATCTGAAAATGAAAACACTAACCGACCTTTGGTGGCTTCAGGCAAACGACCTTCTGGAGGTGGTTCATTTTTGTCCTAAGACAAGCACAAATAGAAACTTAAAACTTACTGTAAATCAACATGAACATTTCAGAAATATTAAATGCGCTTTCAATAAAATGATATACGAGCAAAAAGATGAATCATGTGCACTCGTGTTGCAGTGGGTATCCTATCTGGATAAAAGCGCAAGGCCTTGGATACAGAATGCATACAAAGGTTTTCTGGTGAGAGAATGATGAACAAAGAAAATTTCATTGCTTGTAAACAAAAACCTTATCATATAAAGAAAAAAACTGGATGTTATCTAATTTGCATGTCTCCCATACAGGATAATATATTCAATGCTTGAAACAACACTAGAAATCTAGTAAAACCATATTGTCTCTGCATACTTTAATATAAGCGAATCTTGCATTCACTTTTTATAAATTACAGTTGTCCAATTCCCTTCAAAAAATGACATGATCAATCACATTAGCACTTCAAATCCCATGTCAGTTTGGGTGATTCTTGGAAATTAACTTCTAGAATCATATCAACTATGATAAAGAGAGTACCAAAACAAGCACCTTTTTCTTGCTGAAGTAAGATAAAAAAATGCTATAAGGAGACTCTAAAATCACACCCTTCCCCCCTTGTAATGCATAGGCCTATCCTATGTCATCTTATTTCAAAGCCCTCTCTTTCTCACATCTCAGCATCTAATAATCAGTTTGGAATAATTCTGTTGGTAAAATTGCAAAATTTAACATATAATGATTGAGTTATGCTCTACCTTAACATACATAAGATCAATCCTAAGGAACCTTCATAAAACAATTTTTTCAATGTCAAATGAAACAAACTTCCTACTTCAATGCATTTGATCATTGCTCTGGGCTTGCACTTAGCTAAAACCCCATTCATCTAATTGTCGTATTGTTACTCTTAAGGCGATTGGACTCCGTTCAAATCCATGTCGTCTGTTTCTCTCCCAACATAGAATAACAATAAATACCACATTTCCATCAGGCTAACATAACATAATGAAGTACCAAGAGAAGTCTCTACTGGTAAGAATATGAAACTCTTATGTTGGAAGTGTCAAAGTTTGATAAAGGAATTTGCACTTGGTTAAAACTTTATTTTTTATTAATTTTATTTAATAAAAAAGAAAATTTGTTTATTTTTTGGTCGTCATAAATAAGAAAATTGTTTGTTGTGTTATTGAGTTATTCTTCTTCCTTTTCTTAGAGCAATCCGTTATGCAAAAAAAAAAAAGTTTTATAGTTGAAAAACTTTTTTCAAGATATTAAAAATACAAAAAAATAAAAATAATATTTTTTTAAAGGATATAATTTAGAATGTTAAATAATTTGGGGAAAGGAAAAAAATAAATGGTTATGAAGATAAAAAAAAATAATGAAATTGTGAGGAAAAAAAAAAAGAAAGAGCACCTTCGCATCAAAAGAGAAAATCCTCTGATTTGCATTTCCCTATGTGATCACGGTGGCGGCTCCGCTTCTTCAAAATGGAAAGTAGGTGCAATTCACTTTGATTTTAAGTGGAATTTCAAACTTAATTTTTTTTAAATAGATATTAATTTAACACTGTATTTTTTCTGTTTAAAAAAAATTCCACTGATCTCAAATTTTCGTTCCGCACACAGATCTTTTTCTTCTCAGTTTTAACAGTTTCAATTTCTCTCATCTAGAGGACTGGGTTTTCTCATTTTCGTTCCTTTTTTTTTTTAATGTGCTTTAAGGTACATATTAATGTATAATATATATATATATTTTTTATTATAAATTTATATTAAAAATATATAAAAATAAAAATTATGATATTTTTATATTTTTATTAAGAAATGTAATCTCGATCATGAGATAAGTTAGCTCTACATTATGTTTTAATTATTATATAATTTTAATTGAATGTTTTGATAGTTTTGATATTAATATGTTTTAATTTTATGTATTTTAAAAATTATAAAAATTAATATTTAATTTAACAATTATCTTCTTAAATTTATCAATTTAATACTAATATTGAAATTATTTTAATTTTTATATTTTTCTATATATTTATTACAAAAAAAATATTAATATGACAAGTTTAAAAAACTCCTTTTTTAATACATAACACAGGATATTATCATTATAATATTACGTAAATAAAATAATAAATTTATAATCATAAAATATTAATAAATTAGTATTTATAATATTAGAAGTAAATTTTTATATAAAAAATCAATTATAAATATATTATATTATAATTTTATAATAAATATAATATTATAATTGTATTATTTTTTAATCCGTAACAATGTGGTATCTCTAATTATTATTATTTTTTAAATTACAAAGCTAAAGCTAGGCCGTTGATGGGGGCGGGACTACCGCGACCACACACATTTCTGTTAAGCCACCCAAAAAGTATAAAAATTAAATTTATTTTGATTAATTTTATTTGTCTATAAGTTTATAATTAATTGAATGAGATCTTCAAATCCAAGTGGTTTATCTATAAATCTTAAAGTATTTAGATTTGTTAGTCATAATATTTAAAAATATTAATTTATAAATTAATTTTAATTTATTTAATAATAAATATTAATTATTTTATTAATCAATAATTATAATTATTAATTATTTTTAATAACATAATAATTTTTTTTAATCTTGATTATACAATAAGATGCAACTCGAATTCATAACTTTTTATTTAAAAAAAAAAATAATCACTGAATTACTTAAATCGTAAATAATAATATAACAATATTTTAAATAACCTTCTCGTAACAAAAAATGGGATGGCCATGACACTTCCCTATTTATGCACAATATTAATAGGCAACAAGTAATATTTTGTAAACATTCGTTTTTATTGCCCGTTCTATATAGAACTTCTATCGTTCGTTTTTATAGCATTCCCAGGTTGATGTGGTTATGGATTGTCTTTCGGAGTTTTCCAACGGATCTGGTTTGGACATTAACCTGGCTAAGTCTTAAGTTATTCATCTCACCAAATATTTAGAGTCATGTTGCAAACAGCATGAGCTCCACTTGTGGCATCCCTTTAACTCTAAACTTGGGTGTCTAGGGTACCGATTATTCATGGACAGTGGCGGAGCCAGAGGGGTGCGAGGGGGGTGCTTGCCCTCCTGAAATTTGAAAATCTTGCAAATTAGTATATGAATTGCAAATTAGTATATGAAAAATTATCTAGTCTCCCCTGAACTTTGAAAATTTTAGTATTTTGTCCCCCTTGAAAAAAATTTCTGCCTCCGCCCCTGTTCATGGACGTAGCACCTCTGCAACTTACAAATACATTGTTGAGAAAATTCAACTTAAATTATCTGGTTGGAAACAATCTCTACTCAGCTTGGGAGATCAAAGAGTTCTAGTGCAATCTATTACTTCTTCTATTCCTATATATAGCATGCAAACCGTCCTTTTACCCAAGGAAACTTGTGCTGCCATTGATAGTTTGAACCGCAAATTCTTATGGGGCTTAGAACTAAATCAACGTAAATCTCATCTAGTCAGCTGCAATGAAGTTTGCTTACCTCACAGACAAGGTGGGCTAGGATTACGTACTGCACTTGAAAATAAGAGAGTTTTGGTAGCTAATGTTGGAGCTGTGGTGTTCAAGCTGCAAAAGTAGCAGAAAATGAAAATGAGAGCTGCACAAAATGGCAGCAAATGAAGATGAAAGGCTGCACAAAATGGCAGCAAATGAAGAAGGAAGGCTGCACAAAATGGTAACAAATGAAGAAGGGAGAGCTGCACAGCTCAGTAGCAGCAAAGTGCAGCAAGCTAAGCTGCAGAATGTTGATGAAAGGAGGCTGAAATGAACAGCAGATGAAATGCAAATGAAATGCAAATGCATCTAAAATGAAAGGTTGCAGAGCTGCCAAGGGACCAAGCATGTTGCAGGGCCGCCAAAGGACGCAGCAATGTGACAGAAATGGCTGTTACATATTTCAAATTTCATATGTATTTTATTGTTGTTTTTTAATGTAAAATAACTGTTTTATTTTTGAATTTTAAATTGAGTTTGTATTCTCCTATAAATAGGAGTAAAAGGAATGAGAAAAATTGAGTTGGAGTGATATACTCCTCGCCATTTTATGTGTTCTGCTCTTCATCTTCTTCTCCTGAAATTCTCTCCATTTTCTTTGATAAAAAAAAAATACAACATGGTATCAGAGCATTCATGATTTTTGAGGGCTTGTGTGAGACAGATTTGAGGGGAAAAGACCACCACAAACTCCGACCAAACTCAAATAGCTGCCAGCAAGTTTTTTCTTTCAAAATACCCTGTTTTTTCTAACCCAACACAGCAAACTCCTCTGACCAAAAATGCATCAAAGATGCTATGATGATGAAGGTTAACTTTAGGTCCTTCAATCTTTGAAAGTGGTTGACAAAAAGATGCAACCAATTTGTTAAGGCAAAAGAGAGTATATGAAGCTGTGAAGTTGTGAAGTTGAAGGTTAACTTAACGTCCTTCAATCTTCTTGAGGCAGAAGATTATGTTGTTGGTATGGGTGGTGTTTTATGTTACAGCATTAGTCCAGAAAAGGCAAGGATGGCTTGTGAAGATGCAGATTGGGACCAAGAGATTACTCAACATTGCATCAAGTCATTTTCATGACCGAGGAGCCAAATCTTTAGCCCAAGGAAGCTGTAGAAGATGTGGAAGATGATGAAGCAGCACTTTGAGGTACCAATTCCTTGTTTTATTTACTCAAAAAAGGCAATTTAGTTGCAAAACCTCCAAAATTTGTTTGAGGTAGCAAAATCCAAAAAAGGAAAGTTGTAATGAAGGAGGAGCTGAGGTTGTTTGAGAAGGATGGTACATGACTATGATGAAAAAAATGGTGAAAACCAAGCACAAGATGGACAGCAAAGGGTTGATCCCAGGTGCTTAGGCATAAATCTATTTTTGTTTTGATTTTACAACTTTAACACTAAGGAGAAATGTTGGAGCTGTGGTGTTCAAGCTGCAAAAGTAGGAGCAAATGAAGAACGGAGAGCTGCACAGCTCAAAAGCAGCAAAGTGCAGCAAGCTAAGCTGTAGAATGTTGATGAAAGGAAGCCGAATGAACAGCAGATGAAATGCAAATGCATCTGAAATGAAAGGCTACATAGCTGCCAAAGGACGCAACAATGTGACAGAAATGGCTATTACATATTTCAAATTTCAAATGTATTTTATTGTTGTTTTTTAATGTAAAATAGCTGTTTGATTTATGAATTTTAAATTGAGTTTGTATTCTCTTATAAATAGGAGTAAAAGCAATTAGAAAAATTGAGTTGGAGTGATATACTCCTCTCCATTTTATGTGTTCTGCTCTTCATCTTCTTCTCCCGAAATTCTCTCCATTTTCTTTGATAAAAAAAACACACACACACACACACACACAATAGCTAAACTGGGTTGGCAACTTCTCATGGGCCAGAACAAGCCTTGGTGTCGAGCCCTCTCATGAAAGTATTTACATAGAGAGACATTTATAGACTGTCAGGTCAACTCCTCCTCCTTGTTAGAGTTGTGGTGTCAAAGCTGCAACAGTGGGAGCAAATTGAAAGACGTGAGAGCTGCAACATGACTGCACAGTAGCAGCAAACTGACAACAGCATAAAGCTGCACATGGGCTGCAAAATGGTAGCAAATCTTTTGAATGTAATCTTGTTTTAAATGTTTGATAGATTTTCTTGTATTAGGTAAAATATTAGGTGAGAAGAAATTATTTTTTATTATGTTGTTTTTGCTATAAATATAGCAAAAATATCAATGATATTTCTGAGTTGAAGTAATATAGTTCTTCTCCATTTTCGTTTATGCTCCTCCTGTTTATCTCTCCATTTTTAGTTGGGTTCTACTCTTCATCTTCCTACCGATGTTCTCTCCATTTTTCTTTGTGAAAAACATGAACATGGTATCAGAACCTTTCATGATCTTTGAGGGCCTGTATGAGAGTGATTTGAGAGAAATCTACCACCATAAACTCCGGCCAAACCCAAATAGTTTCTAGCAAGTTTTTCTTTCAAAAAAAATTTTTTTTTCTGACCCAACACAGCAAACTCCTCTGACCAAAAATGCAGCAAAGATGCCATGATTATGAAGGTTAACTTTAGGTCCTTCAATCTTTGAAAGTGGTTGATAAAAGGATGCAACCAATTTGTTAAGGCAGAAGATAGTATGTGAAGCTGTGAAGTTGAAGGTTAACTTAATGTCCTTCAATCTTCTTGAGGCAGAAGATCTGCAAGAAGCAAGATAAAAAAATGCTGGTTTGATGATGTTTTATGTTGCTGGTATGGGTGGTGTTTTATGCTACAACATTAGTCCAAAAAGGCAAGGATGGCTTGTGAAGGTGCAGATTGGGACCATGAGAGTAGTCAACATTGCATCAAGTCATTTTCATGGCCGAGTAGCCAAGTCTTTAGCCCAAGAAAGCTGTAGAAGTAGAAGATGATGAAGCAACACTTTGAGGTACCAAAATCCTTGTTTTATTTACTCAGAAAATGCAACTTAGTTGCAAAACCTCCAAATTTTGTTTGAGGCAGCAAAATCCAAAGAAGGAAAGCTGTAATGAAGGAGGAGCTGAGGTTGTTTGAGAAGGATGGTACGTGATTGTGGAGAAAAAATGTGAGAACGAAACACAAGATGAACAACAAAGAGCTGATCCTAGGTGCTTAGGCATAAATCTATTTTTGTTTTGATTTTACAGCTTTAACACCAAGGAGGAGTGTTAGAGTTGTGGTGTCAAAGCTGCAGTAGTGGGAGCAAATTGAAAGACGTGAGAGCTGCAACATGATTGCACAGTAGTAGCAAACTGACAACAGCATGAAGCTGCACATGGGCTGCAAAATGGCAGCAAATCTTTTGAATGTAATCTTATTTTAAATGTTTGATAGATTTTCTTGTATTAGGTAAAATATTAGGTGAGAAGAAATTATTTTTTATTATGTTGTTTTTGCTAT